TTTCCCCCCCCCCCCCTTCCCCTCCCCTCCTGCCCCCCCCCCCCCCCCCGCCTGGGGCCGTCGTCGTGGCGGTTGAGGGAAAAAAGTGACCAACGTTGTTGGCACGTCCAGTTCCCCGCCTGCCCCGCTTTGGGGAACGCACCGTCTTCCGCCACCTCGTACTTGGTACAGAACGACTTTTTCTTGCTACAAACCTCCTGGTGTACATGTGTGATGCGTGTACTCTGCTCCTATCCACTTTAATCCCCCCTATCCCTCCTCCATTAGCGCTATTCGTAGCTCCCTCGTCCTTGCCCATCGGTCGCTCCGCTCGCTCCCGTCGAATGTCCGTCGCCTCTGATCGCGAACATTGGCGTCGAGCTCGGCGGGGTGCTCCCTGACCTCCCCCTCCCCATGCTGAAGCCCATACCCAACCAAGCAGCTCCCACCACTGCTACACTCCCTCTGTACAGTGTGCTCCATCTTTTTTCCAGCGGTTAGACTCCGTATCCCGCTCCTCCTCGCCAAGGAGCCTTCGCTTTGCTGCCGCCTTCCCGCCACGCGTGCGGTTGCCGGTTGCTGGCGGCGGCCAACTCGCCTGCCTCCATTTTGCCTACCTACGCACCCCACACCGCCACTTCCTCCCCGCACTCCCCACCTGCCCCTCCGTCCCCCGGCCCCTGTCCTCCCCCTCCTCCCCTCCTCTCCTCTCCTCTCCTCTCCCATCCCCTTGCTCCTCTTGCTGTAACCAGCACCCTGTGCACCACTCACCACTCACCCCCCCCCTCCCTTCTCCTCGGTGGCTAACTATCTAACGTTTGCCGACCCACAACAGCACCGTTTTAGACTTCGGCTCGGACTAGGCACCCACCCTCTCCGCCTTTCTCCCACCCCCTCCACCCTCCACCCCCTCCTCTCTCTGATCTCTACACATCGAGTCACCATGGGCACGACTACCAAGCGCATTGTGTTCCCGTGGAACTACCCGGTCATCGAGAAGACGATTCGTATGGACCTGGAACTGACCGGCCAGGCTGCTGTGGACATTGTGCGTGAAAAGTCGCGCTGCTACAACATCGACGCACAGACCTGCTTCCTCTACCTGCCCGAGGCAAAGCGCCAGATTGGCAACGACGAGATCCTCGGCGACGTCGAGTCACTGCCGTCCGAGGAATTTCTAGAGTTGAGAGATCCAAACTCGGGGCCAAAGCCCGGCGAGGGCTCCAAGAAGTCGTGCACTATCCTCTAAGTCTATGCATCCTCTTGCTCTTTCGGCCCACCCCTCTCTGTTTCTCTCTCGCACATCGTTCTCCCTGGGAGCCTCGCGTTGCTCAGCGCTCGTGCTCTGGACAGCCGCCCGCTCTACACCGCAGCCTCCCTCGCTCTCCACCTTCCACCACCGCCCACCACTCCTGCTGCCTGCCCGCATCTTTCGCTTGCGTCGCGTGCTCTCTCATCTCTTCCGCCACTCGCTCGACACCGGACATGACCGGCGCGTCCTTGCAGCTGCCAGCGTCTCGCATTTACCGTTGTCTCCCCCCCTCCCCCCCTCTCCCCTCTCGCACACTCGACTTCATTCTACGGATCCAGGCCTCGGCACCCGTGACATGCCCCCCCCCCCCCCCCCACGACTCCTCTGCAGCCCCACGCACTTGCCTACGCATGGCCGTGAAGAAACGCCTCCTTGCACACAACTCCCATCACACAGCCGCCACCAGCCGCCACCCGCCACCCGCCGCCCGGTCGGCCCTCGCCGCCACCGACAGCGAGTCCCGCCACTCGACGCTGCAGTGAGTCCTCATGTCGAACGGCTTTTACGAGGCAGCGGGCTCTCCAGGCGGCTCGACCACTTCCGGCTTTGGAGGCGGCGGCTTTGGCCCAGGTGGAGCAAACTCGTCCGTCTCGTCGGTCTATGGCGAGGACGGCCTTGGCCTCTTTGGCGGTGGCACCGACGAGAAAATGGAAGAGGTCGCCCGCTTGCTGGACAACAGGTCGACCAAGGACAAGCTGGAGGGCCTGAAGCGCCTCATTGCTGTACGTAACCCCCCTCCTCCACACATCCCCCCCATCCCCTTCTCTTCCCTTTCTTCTTCTCTCGCCTTGTCCTCCTCCCCATCCCCTGCTGTCCCCACCCCCCCCTCGTCAAGTCACACGCATTTCAACGAATCGCCGCCAGTCGCATGCCCCACCGCCGCTTCCTCCACCCACTCCTCCACTCCTTCCCCCTTCCCCCTCCCCCCACAACCTCCCCCCAACCCACCACACAACCTGCCGCTCCACTGCCTTTCCTCTGCCGACCTTCCACACTCCCCCCCCACGCCACCTTGTCCTCCCCGCCGTGCCAGCGACACTCGCGATCGCGATCATGCTCTGGCAAATCGCGATCGTGATCGCCACCACAATTTCACCCACCTGGTCTACTACGACCTTTTCCTGCAGCGGAGGTAGCAGAGCGGGACAAGGTCACGGGCAGCAGGCCTGCGCGCAGAAGAACTCACATGAAAAGCACTCATTTGACTGATGGCGTGTGTGGGGGGCAGATGTTCTCCAAGGGCCGCGACGTCTCGCACATGTTCCCGGACGTGGTCAAGAACGTGGTCTGCGAGTCGCTCGAGGTCAAGAAGCTGGTGTACATCTTCCTGCAGCACTATGCGGAGCAGCAGCAGGATCTCGCGCTCCTCTCTGTGGGACGTTCCAGAAGAACTTGCAGGACTCGAACCAGCTCATCCGTGCGTCGTCGCTCCGAGTGCTCTCGTCGATCCGAGTGCCCATCATCTCGCAAGTGGTGGCGGCCGCCATCAAGACCTGCTGCTCGGACCCGAGCCCGTACGTGCGCAAGGCTGCGGCGCACGCCATTCCCAAGCTGTATTCGGTCTCTCCGGACACCGAGGATGAGCTTGTGGACATGATCGAGACGCTCCTCAACGATTCGTCGACGCTTGTGCTCGGCTCTGCGGTCAACGCCTTTAACGTGGTCTGCCCAACCAAGTATGAGCTTATCCACCCGCAGTACCTCAAGCTCTGCACGCTGCTCGTCGACTGCGACGAGTGGGGCCAGACTATGATCCTCAACATGCTGGTGCGGTACATCCGGACGCAGTTCCTCAACCCCAACGGGGCCACAACTGAGGAGGACGCCGACAACGACGACGGATGGGGCGCGTCGGGCCTCGCCCAGGACCTCGACTCGTTCTATGCCGAGGACGTGACGACTGCGCCTGACGGGGCGGTCAAGGAGTACTACATGCACGCAGACCACCGGGCTGTGCTCCGTGGAGCCCAGTCGCTGCTGCAGTCACGCAACGCGTCGGTCGTTATGTCTGTCGCCATGCTCTTTTTCCACTCGGCGCCTCGCTCCGACGTGGGCATTGCCGGCAAGGCGCTCATCCGGCTCGTCCGCTCGCACCGCGAGGTGCAGTACGTGGTGCTCTCGAACATTGCGACCATGGCATCGAAGCGGCCGTCGATGTTTCTGGGCTCGCTCAAGGAGTTCTTTGTCAAGTCTGGCGACCCGATGTATGTTCGCAAGCTCAAGCTGGAGATCATCACTCAGCTGGCGTCCGAGTCGAACATCTCCGCCATTCTCCACGAGCTCAAGCAGTACGTGCGGTCTGGCGAAGTCTCGTTTGTCACCGAGTCGATCCAGGCTGTGGGCCGGTGTGCCATGCGGGTGCCTGAGGTGACCGAGTCGTGCCTCGAGGGCCTCATCTCGCTCTTGCACTCCAAGTCGGACCTTGTGGTGGCCGAGTCGGTGGTGGTTATCAAGAAGCTGCTGCAGCTGCGTGCGGTGGCCGAGCCGACGGTCTCTGCGCTCACCGCCTCTGAGGTGGCGACCGTCCAGTCGGGCGCCCTCGACGACATCATCAAGCACCTCATCTACTTGCTGGACAAAATCTCCATCGCATCGGCGCGCGCGTGTATCGTCTGGGTTATTGGCGAGTACGCATCGCGGGTGCCCGAGTATGCGCCCGATGTCGAGCGCAAGCTGGCAAAGTCGTTTGCGGCCGAGGACGAGGTGACCAAGCTGCAGATCCTCAACATGGCTGCCAAGCTCTTCCTTGCCAACCCGAACCAGACCGCCAAACTCTTTGAGTACATTCTTGCGCTGGGCAAGTACGACGCCAACTACGACGTTCGCGACCGGGTCCGCTTCATGACTGCCGTACTCGCCAAGCGCGAGACGCCGCTCTTTGCCGCCGCCGCCAAGCGCCTCTTCCACGCGCCCAAGCCGGCGCCGCGCGTCGTCTCGCCCTACGCCTCGCGCGCAGCCTTTGTCATCGGCTCGCTCTCGCACCTGGTCGGCCACGCCACACCGGCCTACCTCCCGCTTCCCGAGTGGACGCTTGAGGAGCCCGACCACTCGCTGCGGACGCCAGCGGCGCCGCTGCAGGCCCCGTCTGCCCGCGGCTTTGGCTCGTCTGGCTTTGGCGGCTTTGGCCCCGATGACTACGCCGCAGCCCACGGCGTTCCGTCCATGCAGCAGGCACAGACACCGGCGTTTGGCGGTGTCGTCGGCGCTGCCGGCGACATGTCGCTCGACGCCTTTTACGCAGACGACGGCGAGTACGACTACTACTCGGACGACGACGCCGCACCTGGCGCCGCACCCGGCATGCCCGGCGCCGCCGCACCCGTCGGTGGAAACTACGGGTTCTACGGCGCCGCCACTGGTGCTGACGACGACTACTACGACTACTATGACGACGACGTGCCGGGCGCGTCTGCCACGCCTGCGCCCGCCTCGGCCAAGCCCTCGCGCACCTCCAACCTGCTCGACCTTGGCTACAGCGCCACCGGCTCGGCGGCCGCTCCTGCGTCCGCTGCTCCGGCCGCGTCTTTGCCCGCGGCTCCTGCCGGTGACGACGAGTACTATGACTACTACGACGACGAGGTGGCCGCCACTGCGCCTACCTTTGTCGCTGCCGGCTCTGGCCTCCTCGGCAACGTCAACAACTCGTCCGGTTCGTTGTTGTAGGCCGAGAGAGCAAACGTGAGAGCTTGGGCTAGCGCAAGAGTTTTATGTGGTGGGCTAAACAATCGTTGATTGTGTGTGAAGAAGCTGCATGATGAGCCCGTCCCAGCTAAACCAGAGTGGTACCAGGTCTTGCGTGTGTTGGTGAGAGAGCCAGTGCCACAAACGTGTGTGTGTGGGTGTGTGTGCCATTGTTCGAAACTCCGCCACCGACCTACGTCTTCACCCAGCAGACAACCATCATCGTCCACCTCACTAACTGTCCTTCACCCATCAACATGAGCATCATCCTCGCCGGTGTCTACTACACCCTCATTGTCCAGGCTCTTATCTGTGCCGTCCTACTTGTTCCTCTCTTTGTCTCGTGGAAGGTACGTCCGTAGCCTGCGGGGCCGTCTTTGGTTCTTCTTGCTGAGGTCGGCCATTCTTTGGTCTCTTCGCCTGTGAATGGTCACATGTGCGGGGGCAAGGGCATGGGGGGGTGGGGGATGATGACTTAATAAGATTGTGTGTCATGGTCGTGTGGTGGTTGTCGTCCTGGTTGCCGTCGTCGTCCTGGTTGCTATCCCCATCCTGGTTACTGTCCTCATCCTGGTTGCCGTCGTCGTCCTGGTTACTGTCCTCATCCTGGTTGCTGTTCCTGGTTGCTGTTCCCGTCCCCGTCCTGGTTGCTTTCCTCGTCCCGGTTTCCATCATCGTCGTCATTCCCCCCCCTTCCCCCCACCCCCCATGCTGGCGTGTTCGCCATCGTCGGCACTATCTCGGCCACTCTCTCGGTTGTGGTCAAACTCCTGCAGCACACCCTCATCTCCAAGCTCGTCACCCTCTCGGGTGCCCGTGGTCAGCTCGCATACTACGCACTCCTCGTCTTTGTGGCTCTCGTCTTTGCCGACTCGTTCCGCACTGCCACCACGATCGCTGACGAACGCGAGCATGGCGACGCGCACGCAAACTCCAAGGCCAACCAGATCCGCTACTTCCGCGCTCAGCGCAACATGTACCTCACCCTCATGCTCCTTGTTCTCTCGGCTGTCAACAAGGGCCTTTTCTCGCTCAACTACAAGCTGAAGTCTGCTCGTGAAGAGATCAAGGCACTCAAGGCTGCGGTTGCCGGCGGACCTGCCCCGACCGATCCGGACGCCAAGAAGGCCCAGTAACAAACGCCCCCATTTCGCCGCCCATCACTCGACTCGCACACCCACCGCAAATGTCGTCCGGTATCGCCGGCGGGCTCGGTATGGGCATCAACGAGGCCATCTTTGACTACCACGAGACAACCGACAATGGCCAGGAGCTCACTGTCCGTATCACCATGCAGGATCGAGACCCCAGCACGCGTGCCATCAACGAGCGGACAAAGTCCATCAAGTTCATGTCGGTATGTTGCCCTGCTGCCATTGTTCCGCCCCTTCCCTCCGCTCGCCCGCCCTGTCGCCCGCGTCTTGTGCGGCATAGCGTCTGCCCTTTCACACCCTGCTCGCCCTACAGGCACCATCGCTCGCCACCTACACCTACTGCACAACCCCGTAGTCGTCGTGTATGCCCTACATCCCCAGCGTCCGCCATGGGCTGCTTCGACCGAGGGTGAGCCGTTTACCAATTTTGCCGAAAGGCTCGTTTTTCACAGACTCGCGACTCAACCGCCGCCTCCCCCCCCCCCCCCCCTCCCCCATCCCTCCCTCTGCAGTCGGCGTACGGCGTCGACTGCGTGGCCAAGATCGCAGAAACGTTCAATATGGAGGCACGGCCTGACTATGGGCTGTACTTTCTCAACAAGTTTGACTTGACCAAGTGCTACTGGCTCGATCTGACCAAGACGCTGCGGTACTACGACGTGCACAACCTCGATGAGCTGGTCTACAAGCAGGTCAAGCAGCCGCTGAGGATTCTGCTGATGGACGGCTCGCGCAAAGTCATCATGTGCGACGTCTCGCAGCCGGTCGCCTCCCTTGTCGAAGTCATCTGCGCCAAGCAGAACATTTCCAACCCGGAAGAGTTCTCGCTCATGGTCGCCGAGGATGAGCTGACGGACGAGCAGCGCGCGGCGCGCGAGAAAGATCTCAAGCGCCGCCGCAAACGCGGCGAGCCAGTCTCCGACGACGAATGGCTCAAGGCCGACATGACGCTCAACGCCCAGGGCGTCACCGCCGACACCACGCTCCTGCTCAAGAAGAAGTTTTTCTTCTACGACGCCTCCATCGACACCTCGGATCCGCAGACCCTCTCACTCCTCTTTGAGCAGCTTCGCGACGACGTGACCTCGGGCGCCCTGCCGGTCCAGTTTGACGAGGCCATTCTCTTTGCCGCTCTCATGGCCCAGGTTGTGCTCGGCGCACACGATCCCGATCGCCACCGCAAGGGCAAGATCGATGTTCGCCCGTTTGTGCCTATCGAGTTCAAGAAGACCAAGAAGCTCGCCGAGAAGGTGTTCCAGGCCCACGCCAAGCTCGGCAGCATGTCCGTTACCGACGCCAAGTTCCGGTTCATCCAGCTCGCCCGCTCGCTTGACACCTTTGGTATCACTGTCTTCACCGTCCAGGAAGCCATCCGCAACAAGAAGGGCAAGTTGACCAAGAAGTTCCAGCCTATCCTCCTTGGCATTTCCAAGTCGCATCTCTTCCGCCTCGACGCCATCACCAAGCAGCCGCTTGAGGAGGCCTTTGCCCTCACCCAGCTCCGCCGCTGGTCGCCGTCCAAGACCTCGATCACCCTCGACTACGGCGACCATAAGGACGAGTACTACACCGTCCTCACCGAGGAAGGCCAGAAGATCTCTGCTCTCATCGCCGGCTACATCGATATTATCATGAACCAGCGTCGCGATCGCGCCAAGGAGCAGGAGGCCGACGAGCTCCGTGCCATCGAGGAGGAGGTCATCGCCCCGTCGCGCGCCGCAGGTGTCGCCCGCACCACCTCTGCCCGCCGGACCATGACCACCTCCTCGGTCTCGCGCCCGGGCCTCTCACGCCGTCCAGCGCCTGGCGCCGCCGGCTCGACTACAACCGGCGGCCAGTCGCTCAACAAGCGCTCGCTCGATCGCGAGCTGCAGTCGATTTCGGCGCTCCTCGCCGGTGCACCTGTCATCCTCGCTGACGATCTGCCCGACGACCTTGCCGACCTCGCCGACGACGACGACGCCAAGCTCACCTCACTGCAAGACGCCCGCGACATGCTTGCCGACATTCTCGGCGATCTGGCGCTCTCGGGCAACGACATGATCGCCGCCAAGGGCTCGTCACACGATGCTGTCCTCACCTCGGCGCAGCGGATGCAGATGCTGGCTGACGAGCTGGTCACCGCCGCAGGCACCACCGCCGCCCTCCTGGGTGCGCCGGAAGAGATGTCTGACGCGCTCGCCAACATGCAGATGCGGCTCGCGGGCGTCGTTGCCGCCGCCGCCAACGACGACGATCCCGAGGCACTCGCCGACGCATCGCGTGGCCTTGGCGCCGCTATCGATTCTATGCTCGCCGCTGCTGCCATTCCCGACGCCTCGCTTCTGTGCATGGATGACCTACTCGCCGCTGCCGGTGATCTCTCGTCGGCGCTCGGCGGCATGGTTGGCCTCAACGTTTCGGACAAGGTTGATGATCCCGAGGCCAAGGCCAAGCTTGCGGCTGCAGAGGCCAACGTCAAGGCGCTCTCAGACGCGATGACCAACTCAGTCTCGATGGCCGGCGCCCGAGTGCTCGACGACAAGGTCCAGGCTGCGCTCGATGTGCAGCAGACCCAGCTCCAGGCCTCGATCGTCGACATGCTCACCCTTGCCGACGTCTCGGGTATCGATCTTGCTGACATGGACTCGCTCAAGGCCGCCGCAGAGTCACTCAACGATGCCCTGCTCAAGCTCTCCGAGTCGGTTGCCGACGCGGATGAGCACATCGACCGCACCGCCGACATTGCGGCGGCCTCGGTCGCGCTCGACACCACGATCGTCGGCGTCGTCAACGCCGAGTCGCGGAGCCAGGCACTCGCCGGTGCCAAGACCGTCTCGGCCGAGGCTGCCGCGCTCGGCGAGCTGGCGGCGCTTGAGGCCACATCCGAAGTCAACCCCGAGCTCAAGGACGAGCTCAACCAGCTCTCGCAGAACCTCGCCAGTGCACTCGAGGCCTTTGCGGCTGCCACCGCGAACGCATCGACCGACAAGTCGGAGGCTGCTACCGAGGCGCTCAAGGACGCGGCGCTTGGCGTGGGTGATGCCGCGCGTGCGCTCCGCGCAGCACGCGAGCAGAAGCGCGCCCTCACCGATTTGGCCAAGGCGACCAAGGCATCGGTTGTGGCGAACAACACGCTGCTTGACGAGCTTGATGCTGCTGGCGAGTCCAGCTCTCCAGCGATGCTCAAGAAGACCGCCGGTCTGCAGACCAAGGTCCAGGCGCCAAACGAGGCGGCTGGCAAGGCGGCGCAGCTGTACCTCGCCGACCCGACGTCGCGATCGGCGCAGAAGGAGCTGCTCGAGTCGTCCAAGGCTCTGCTGCACCCGGTCTCTCGACTGGTGGTTTCGGCCAAGTCGTCGTCGTCGGGCTACGTCGATCCGACGGACCAGGAGGCTGTGGCCAACTCGGCCTCCAAGGCCGGCGAGAAGACTGCGCTGCTCAAGTCGGCCTTTGGTGAGGCCCAGGGCGTGTGCTGGGACCTCGATGTCGAGGCTGCACTCGATCGCATCCAGGGTGTGCAGGGTGATCTGGCGACCGCTGCGGCGTCGGCGGCAGATGGCTCACTCCCGGAGAAGGAGTTCTTCGAGAACGAGTCGGCGGCGCTCGCCGAGATGTCGTTTGCCATGGAAGCGCTCAGCTCGGCGGCGGCAGTGCTGGTGGCTGCGATGACCAACCTCAATCCACAGGATGTCGGCGCCGCGGCCGGCAACGCGGCGTCGAATGCTGCCATCCTCGCGTCGGCCGTCGTCACAGCGCAAAAGTGCAAGGAGGACGCCGCAGCGCGATCGAATCCGGTGGCGCTTGAACGCGCGTCTGATGTGGCCGGCGCCATGGCCGACCTTCTCACCGCCGCCGAGGCCCGCCACAAGTCGTCGTCCGACTCGACCGCCGCCGATGCCGAGACTGCGGCTGCCGTGGCGGCGTTCAAGGACGCACTTGCCGCCATGATGGCCACCATCCCGGGCGTTGGCGCCTGCATCCGCGCCGAAGATGCGGTTGCCTCGGCTGGTGCCGCGTTTGATCTGGCCTCCCTCCCTCCGCTCGCCGGCCCGCTCACCGACGCTATGACCGACGACCTCCTTGCAGCGGCGCGGGCGCTCTCGGACGCGCTTGCGCTGCTCAACCACGGCGCCAAGTCGGGCTCAAACTCGGAGCTCGAGCGTGGCGCCGATGACCTTACCGTCGCCTTTGATGCGCTCAAGACCGCGGCAGGCACGCTGGCGGCGGCGCTGCCGACTGATGGCGCCCGTGTCCCGCTGGTCACGGCGGTCAAGGCCGTTGCCGAGGCTGCGGCAGCGTCTGCTCGCGACGCACGTAGCCTCGCGCACGATGCCGACGACGAGGAGGCAGCAGGAGCGGCGGCGGCGTCGGCAGATGCGTCTGCGGCGGCGGTTGCTGAGCTCCTTGCGGTCGCCGAGTCGGCGTCGGACGGTGCGGCGACCGAGTTTGATGCCATCATCGACGCCCTCCTTGCCACTGTTGAGGCCAAGCTCAAGACCGAGTCCGGCGCCACGCCATCGGGCGCGTCGTACCCGGCAGCGCTCGAGTCGCTGGCGACGTCCAAGGCGACAATTGCCGACGCCGTCAAGGCGCTGATGGAGACGACCAAGATTGCGAGCGCGCCAGGGCAGGATGCACTGATGGCAGTGGCCGAACCGCTGCCAGGCGCACTGGCATCTCTTGCGGCCGCAATCGTCGACGCTGCAGCCGCGCTGTCTTCCGAAGGCGGCGAGAGCGGAGCAAGCAGCAGCGGTTCGTCAAGCACCACATCGGGTGGACTCGAGCCGGCGACGGCGGCAAGCATCGAGAAGAAGGGCACTGCCATCACAGGAGGCGTCAAGGCGCTTTCCAAGGCGGCGGCCGGTAAGCCAAAGGCTGCGCTCAAGGGCGCGGCAGCGCTGATCAAGCTCGCCAACACGCTTGCGGTTGTGGCCAAGGACGCGGACGAGAGCCTGGTGAGCCACAGCAAGACGCTCAAGGCCGCATCCAGCAAGCTCTCCAAGGCTGCAGCAAAGGCGGCCAAGAGTCTGTCGTCGGGCGGCGAGGTCGACGTGGCACCAGTGGTGGCGGCTGCGTCGCTGTTGGGCGCAGCGACGCGCGCAGTGTTGAAGGCCGCCAACAAGGTTGGATCTGGCAGCGACGGCGCGGGCGCATCGTCAGCAAGTGGATCGGGCAACGCGCTGTCGCCAGAGGGCGCGGCACTGGTCAAGAGCGCACGGGTGACGGCGGAGCAGCTGGTGGCGCATGTGTCGGCGGTCAAGGCGTGGGCAAACAAGCCCAAGTCTGCGCCGGCCAAGTCGCTAGTCAAGTCATCGGGCCGCAAGACAGGCGCAGCGCTGACAAAGCTGGAGAAGAAGGCGCAGTCGGCGGCACCGGGCCAGGCCGAGCTGGCGGCGGCGGGGAGCGCGGTTGATGCGGCGATCGAGAGTCTCGAGGAGTGCTCGATGGCGGCGTCGGTCGGCGACCTCACCACCTCATCAAAGCTCACGTTTGCGACGGCCAAGAAGCGTATCTCGGACGCAATCGAGGCGCTCGCCGAGGCGTCCGGGAGCCTGAGTGGCGAGAGCGAGGCGATGGCGGCGGGTGCGAACAGCGTCGGCGCGGGCGCTACGCAGCTGGCGAAGCTTGTGGCAGCGGCGGCGGCGGCAGTGACCGATGAGCCCGACGACTGCTCCGCCATCCTCGCGGCCGGAGTGGCGTTCACCTCGGAGCTGCGCGCGGCCATCGACGCGGCTGGCACTGGCGGCGATGCGAGCGCCGGTGTCGAGGCCGCAGGTGCCGCGCTTGTGGACGCACTGGCGACGGCGGGCGCAAACGCCGAGGGTACATCGGCGAGCGGGTCGTCGGGCGCCGATGCTGTGGCGCACGCGCGTGACGCCATTCTGGCGGCCGCCGAGCCGGCCAAGGACCGCGGGATGACGTACAAGGACTACCAGTCGGACATCAAGTCACAAGGCAAGAAGCTTGGGTCGAAGATCCTGCATCTGGGCAAGGCAGCAAAGAGGTGCCGAAGCGGATCATGGTGGCGGTGGATGAGGTGGCGACGCTGTACGCGCCGCTGATGGCGTCGGTGGCTGCGGCGGCGACGAGCTCGTCGGCGCCAGACGAGCTGCGGGCGGCCGGGCGTGCGCTCTGCGACGCGTCGATCAAGCTCTTTGAGGAAGCGGCGGAGCTCAAGAGCTCACCCAAGGACAAGGCGCTGCAGGCCAAGGTGGCAAAGAGCGCGTCGTCCAAGGTAGCCAAGACGATTGCGGCGCTGCTGGCGGCGGCCAAGGCCGAAGCGTCGGCGGAGAAGGATGCCGAGGAGGCAGCGATTGCCATTGAGGAGGCGCTCGGTGAGCTCGACACCATGTCGTTCATGGTGACATCGGGCTCGCTGGCGGCGGCGGAAGGCACGACGTACGCAGACCACGAGGCGGCAGTGGCCAAGGCCGGAACCAAGGTCGGCAAGGCGCTGCTCAAGGTAGAGGCGGCAAGCGCAGGCGGCGATACCGGCGAAGCAACCAAGGGCCTTGCCGAGAGCGTGAGCAAGCTGCTTGCGTCGCTGGAGGCCGGCGTGCCGGCGCTCGCGGATCTCTCAGCACAGCAGGCGCTGCTGGACGCGGCCAAGGCACTGACTGAGGCGCTGGCTGCGTTTGCGACGTCGTCGCTCGAGCTGGCGAGCGATCCTCAGTCGACCGAGGCAGCGGCGGCGGCAGCCGAAGCCAAGGCGGCGTCAACCAAGGAGCTCAAGCGGTTCCTCAAGGTCAACGCCAAGGTAGAGGAGCTGGCGACGTCGGGCAAGCGGCAGGTGACGACGGCGATCGAGCTGGCCAAGCAGGCGGTCGAATCGCTCGACGCGGACCACAAGGCTGGCGACAAGGACGACGGGACGCTGGAGGAGCTCGAGGCGGCGGCGGCGGGCGTGTCGGGCGCGGTGACCAAGTTTGTGGTCACGGCGCGCAAGGGCCAGAAGCCGGCGGGCGAGGCGGCGTCGGCGCTGGTGCGGGCGCTGGTTGGCTTTGTTATGGCCGGCAAGGCGATCGGGCCCGGGGTTGAGAACGAGATCCGCGCTCCGTTTGTGGCAGCTATGAAGGAGCTCGGGGCGGACGTGATCAAGGCGCTCAAGGTGGTCAAGGCTGCAGGCGGAACAACCAAGAAGTCTGCGACGGCGCACAAGGCATTGCGGAAAGAGGGCGCCAAGGTGGCCGAGGACGTGGCCGAGGTGCTGGCGACCGGGCTGGTGGTGTCGAACCCGGAGCTAGCCGGCGAGGGATCAGCCGACGCCATGGCGGCCAAGGAGCTCAAGTCGACGGCCAAGGACATCGAGAACTCTGGCCTCAAGAAGCTCAATAGGCTCCGGCCTGTGCGCGGCGAGGACGGCCTGATGTCGTTTGAGGAACAGCTTGTCGAGGGGTGCAAGACCATCATGGTGGCGGCAGCCGGGCTGATCAAGGCTGCGGCCATGTGTCAGAAGGAGGTCATGGCCCACCAGGCAGCTGGCGAGGGCGGCGAGGGCTCGATGTGGCACACTGACACCGACTTTTCCACCGGCCTCATCTCGGCGGCGCAGCGAGTCAATGCCGAGTGCAAGCTCCTGGTCACTACCGCCGAGACGACGGTGAAGGACAAGCCAGAGAACCCGGCGCTGCGGATCAAGGCCGCGGTCAAGGGCATCACCGCCTCGACCGCCCACCTTGTTGTCGCCGCCCAGGTCAAGGCTGGTGACTCGAAGCCACAGAAGCTGCTCAAGAAGGCCGGCGGCGACGTCAAGCGGACGGCCGAGGCGCTCGACTCGATCGCCACTCTCTCGTCGGCCGCCGCCGCTGCTGCCGCCGGTGGCGACGACGACGACGAGCTCGATGACGAGGGCCAGGTCGCAGCTAACAAGGCTGACATGGAAGCCCGCCTTCGGGTTCTCGCCGCCCAGCAGGAGCTGGAGAAGGCGCGGCAGGCCGTGCTCAAGCGCAACAAGCGCAAGTACAAGAAGTAGATTAAAGCCGCCAAGACGCGCAACAACGCGCGATCCCTCTTACCATACCACAGCCAAACCAAGCACGATGACCACAGTCTTTGAGCACATGTGCAGTCGATTCATGGCACAACGTGCCGAGTTGACAATGATGGCCAGAGAGCAGCCTGTGCAGTTTGCGGTGGCGTTCTTCTCGGACAGAGGGTGACATGATGGGGAAGTGGGCAGAAGCTGTTGGTGCGGGCGGGGGCGGGCGGAGGCACTCGACTTTGAGCACCACATTGGAGACGATGGACGACGTATGGGATGACGAGGTGGACGAAGTGGAGTACCATGCAGCCATGGCCTCCCAGAACTGGTCTCGCATGGAGGATACCTTTACCACAGTACGTGTGTGGGGAGGAGGGGAGGAGGGGAGGAGGGGAGGAGGGAGGGGGGAGGGGAGGAGGGGGATGGAAGGGCTCCGTGGGGAGAGGGACTTATGCGGGGATGGTGGTGATGGTGATGGTGATGGTGATGGTGATGGGGTGGGTGGGTGGGTGTGGTGGTGGTGATGGTGGTGGTGATGGTGAGTGGTGAGTGGTGAGTGGTGGAC